CTCTCTCTCTCTCGTTCCCTCTCTCTTTGCAGCTGCCGCTGCTGGAGCCTGGCCCGGTCCACCTCCTCGGCCTCGCTGCGATCCTAGCCGCCTTGACATTTGCCTCGCTGCAGAAGGCCACGGAGCGGCCGTGAGCTGCAGGCGTGAGAGAGCTGGGGGCGGGCTGGAAGGAATGCTGGAAAGAGAGCTGGAGGGAGGGCTGGAGGGAGAGCTGGAGGGAGGGCTGGAGGGAGAGCTGGAAGGAGAGCTGGAGGGAGGGCAGGGGCTGGGGGGAGAGCTGGAGAGAGGGCTGGAGGGAGGGCTGGAGGGAGAGCTTGAGGGAGAGCTGGAGGGAGAGCTGGAGGGAGGGCTGGAGGGAGAGCTGGAGGGAGGGCTGGAGGGAGAGCTGGAGGGAAAGCTGGAGAAGAAGATGAGGGGAGAGCTGGAGGGAGAGTTGCAAACTCCTCCAGGCCTGACTCGTTTCTCCAGCGCAGAGGGCACTATCCTCCCTGTTATTACAATTCTTTCGCGGCCGCCCAACCCTCCTACTACTGGAAATTACGATTTCCGCTTCCAGTCTGAACCTTTCTCCAGGGAGCGGCCGGAGGACGACCCTGGGGGTCGTTCGAGGGCCACGAGGAGGAGATGTTGCTGCTGCTGCTGGTGGTTTTTGGACGGGCGCGAGAGGCAGCACTAGAAGCCCGGGAGGAGGCTCTTCCCGGCTCTTCCCCGCCCCACTTTTATGTTTTTTACAGGCCCGGCACTTCTGGGAATCGTATTCTCCCATAAAACGCTCTTGGCGCACTGCACTGTCGACTGTCGATGGCCCCGCACGAAAGCCTTTGGGCGTGCGGTTTTTATTTTGTTGCCAAACGAATAAGCATTTACTTTTGCAACTGCAAAAGAAGAAAAATGCTTTTGTCTGAAGCAATGTCAATGTCTAAATAAATCCATCCCATCGATCAGAATTTGAAAAGCGTTGGCTAAGAATTTCCTTTTTTACACTTTGTAGAAATCAAAGTCTAGAAGTATAGAAGAATAAGCTTTTTCAAAATTTTGAAAGAAAATGTTCTTGAGGACACCATTATTTTAATATGTTCCCTTTCAGACGGACACTTACTTTTCACACTTCTTCTTTGAAAGTATTGGAGGCGACTTTTTCCTTGGATCCATTATTTCGCTGCCTTTTTCCCCCTCTAAAATAGGAACGATTTTGTGTTTTGCATACTACTTTTTGTGGAATGTTGTAGGGCGCCTTGTCCCTTTCCTTGCTGGCGCCTCGTCTCTTTC